ATGATGGCAAACTAAACTAACCAGTGAAACACATTTCAAGGTACTGGAGAGCAGAAACGATTTTTACTTTTGTCACAGAAGAACTTTCAAAGTATAAATCATTGCGTGTGAGCTGCATCCTTTATTGTGTCTAGAAAGTTGTCCTCTTTCATTGTGGCCTTTTGGCTTCTTCAGTATGAACCACTGATTCTTGGGCATCGCTCTCAGGGTGTTGTTGGCTAAGCTTTATGTTCTTTTGTTCCAGCCTTTGCGTGCTTTGGCCGTGTGATTTTCCATCTGGTCCGTCTCCTGATGCTATTGGTCTCCAGGGTGTATGGTTTTCAGGAAAAGGTCTATTTTAGAGAGATGGCATGTGTAATTTTTAAACTCTGCAGCTCTAACCTCATTTAAATTAAGAATAGAACATACATAGATGGTGATAAGTGTATTTATTGTACCGGAGCTTGATAACTCATAACTTCTTTTAGACAAAAACAAAAACAGTGTTAGCAACATTTTCTTGCAAAAAAAGAAAAAAAAAACTTTTAAATGGTCTTCACAAGTAATCAAAGTTAACAACAGCTTTCAACTCTGCCTTGTTATGAATTCGGTGGGTCAGTGTGCTTCCTGTTGATAAGGGAAGTTCTTTCTTTCAGCCGAGCCCTGGGAGTTCTGAGGAAAATAAGACCAAGTAGATTATCAGTCACCAGTGCAAAAGTTTTGTGGATTCACTATTTAAAACCAAAGAGCATATGATTTTCTCCAAGATACTATCTTATTACAGTTCAACTGATGTTAATATATTAGATATCGTCAGATTTGCCGCTGTATTTAACTTTCTCCAGGTTGCTATGGTGAACTTTTTTTTTCAGTTGCCAAACAGAACACTAACGAGAGCCATGTTCAGCGTTGCTTGTAGATCATGCCTTTGGGCTGATGTGCTCAAGAAAGCCTCATGGAGAGGACACAGAATCGGGGTAGGAGTGTGCTGGCCTCAGAATCCCTGTGTTCTCCCCTTCCCGGTTTTATCTGACATGGGCAAGGCCCCCATCTTTCTTGAGCCTAACTTGCTTATCTATAAAATGGGCCTGACATTTTTTCAATACCACAAATACACCCAACACCCCAACACCCACCACCCACCCCCACCACCCACCCCCCCCCCCACCCCCCACCCACCCCCCCCCACCACACCAACACCCCCACACCCCACAACCACCAAACCCCCCAACCCCCACCCCCACACCCAACCCCACCCCCCCACACAACCCCAAAACCCCCCCCCCCCCCCCCCCCCCCCCCCCCCCCCCCCCCCCCCCCCCCCCTCACCCCCCCCCCCCCCCCCCCCCCCCCCCCCCCCCCCCCCCCCCCCCCCCCAAACCACCCCCCCCACCCCCCACCCCCCCCCCCCCCCCCCACACCACCAAACCCCCCCCCAACCCCCCACCCCCCCCACCACCCACCACCCCCCCCCACAACCCCCCACACACCCCCACAAAAACACAAACAACACCCCACCACCCCCCCAACACCTCCCCACCACATCCCAAAACAAACCACCCATCCACCCAAAACACCACCCCCCCCCCCCCCCCACCCCCCCCCCCCCCCACCCCCCCCCCCCCCCCCCTCCCCAACCCTACCCCCCTACCCAACACACACCCCCCCCCACCCACCCCTCCCCCACCCTCCCCTACCACCCACCCCCACACCCCCCACCCCCCACCCCCACCCCCCTCCCGACATTGTGAAATAATTTCTCCACTGCAAATTAGGGGCAGATCTACTATCTGTTTTTCTGCAAAAAGTGTAATTCTCAAAACTCTTCATTCATCACACCATACTTCTCTCCTTGGCTAATATTTTTAACATTTAATCATTTTCTTCATGGAAGTTCCTAAGATACTCTTCTAAATCATTGTCATATGTCTTAGATTACAGGTGTCCAGTTACAAAAAAACCTCTCTATTGCTTTTATCGTTTATTATTCCTTAAACCAGAGAGGGAACATGATGATAAACAGGAGATTGGTAGTCCAAACATTACTGTCATTTCCTGAGAGCTGCTGGTTGATACAATGTCTTTCCTATCCAGCTTTGCCTATCCCTTCCTGTGACTCCAGGGTTACAAACTGAGATTCCCAAAATGATTGACAGTTTCATGGTGGTTTATTTATTTTTGCTTATAAATTGCCACTAATTAACATATGGAGGATAAAAGAAAATGGATTGATTTTACTTCAAATCAAAGCTTACTGAAATTACTCTTTGAAAACTGAAGGAAAAACAGTTTGAAACTTACAGAAGGGTATGTATAAATCAGAACCTTGTATGTCACCAGATGATATTCTTTTCCCCTCCTAGAGACATTAAATGTATTAGGTATCTGCATCATCGCTTATACTATGACATATGTCCAGTAAATACTTACCAGTTGAATGAATGGATAAATGGAACTGCAAAGTTGTCAGATTGAAAATTTAGAAAAGCTAGATGGACATACATTTCTTCTACATTATTAACTTTATTTTCTAGCACTTTAAATTTTGACCACAAACACCATTAGATTAATATGTTCTACTTTTAAAGATCTTTTTGTTTGTTTGAAAGAGCAAGACAGACAGACAGAGAGAGAGAGAGAGAGAGAGGGAGAGAGAGAGAGAGAGAGAGAAGTATCTGCCATCTGCTGTTTCACTCCTTAAAAGGCTACAGCATCCAGGATTGTGTCAGGCCAAATCCAAAAGCCTGGGACTCCATCTGGGTCTCCCACATGGGTTACAGCACCCAAGTACTTCACCATAACCAGCTGCCTTCATAGACATATTACTAGGAAAGCTGGATTGGAAGCAAAGTAGCCAGGACTCAGGACAGCACTTCCCGATATGGAATGCCAGCATCCCAAGTAGTGACTTAATCCAATGTGCCACAGTGCTGGTCCCTCTAATTTTCTTTTATATGAGCTTTTGAATTAAGTTTGTTACTTTTTGATCTGTTAAACCTCAGCAGGTAGTATGTGCATGAGGGAAAAAATTGATACAGGGAAAAGTTTTTCCCAACAAGGTATCAAAAGATACACACCCATGGGCGCCACTGATGAGAACAAAATGTGCCGTACTCGAAAATTATATATTTTAAGGATGTTTTAAATTTTAGGGGAGAAAGGCCACGGTGGGCCTTTGCAGTTGTACTGTAACTTTTGAAATCATTACAGAATGCCAAGACTCTCATATTGGCAGTTTGCAGTGGCTAGCTTCAGGGCATTGATATCCTGTTATTTGCAAAGGAATTCACAGGGAAACCTAAAACAATTGAGAAAAACAATGGAAAATTGTTATACAGAATTTTAGATGAGTCAGCTAGAATAAAAATAATTAAATTGGCTGCTGAAATAAAACTAAATGAAATGCAGAAGTTTGATATTTAAGTTTCTATTTCATTGTTCTCTTTTCTAATATGTGATTATAAAGTTATTTTCAAGATTTTTTTCCATTGGAGTATTTACTGTAAACAGCTGATATTAAGAATCATATGAACTGCAAATGTAGCTTGCAAGAAAATTGGATTAACAAGATGGCCTTGTTTGCCTAGGCTATTTTTTTTAACTTACCTGTGCTGTGAAAAGTGCCACTTCTACACACAGTTTGTAATAGACCGCTACGCTGTCCAACTTAAAGAAACGCCCCATTACAGGATATGCTGCAGATGGTACAGGTCCTGGAGTTGGACTGCTCTGCTGCACAGATGCTCAATGTGCTTATTTTGGCTTTAGAAGATATTTCCATGTTTTATAGTATGACAATTTTTTTTAAATCTTTTATGGCACTTTTTTAATAGCATTATAGCATTCACCATGGTCTGTAAACAGTGTGCAAATGGTGGCTGTTTCATAGAGTTTTCACCAGGAACAACAAAGAGATCTCATAAAGACGAAGGAGAGAGTGCCCTGTGTAGCAGGTTTTAAGTAAAAAAGATGAATGTTTCCAAAAGGAGGCACCTCGGATCAGCAAGAGATGGCTTCATTCCATCTAAGACTCTTTGGATTTCTCCTCAGAGCTTGTCAGTTAAACTGTGTGGAATTGCGGAACTTTTTTTTCTAACTCCATGTGTAGGAGAAACTTGCAGAGGGCAGATAATGCATAGGACCTCATATGTGATATCTCCTTTTAGAAGTCACAGTCTAAATTCTGTTCGTGTAAATATGCTCACTGACTCACAATGAAGTGAGGAGACACTGTTATTTTTTTAAAGCCTTGGTGAAGATGTAGTTCTATTCTCTAGGGAGCATGGGAGGAGTCTAACAACCATGTAAGAATATTTTGTAAAAATGGCAGAGGAGGTCCAGAAATGTTAACAAAGGGGGGAAAAGCGTCTCTGTTATCCATACTTGCTATTGTAAAACAATGAGCTAGCATGTTCTTTCTAATTTTTCTTTTAATAAGCATTCCTCAAAATTTACCCATTCTGTCTCTGTAATGAAGTCTCCATCTGAGTTGCTGCAGACCATTAGAGTCCTGGCGGAGGTGGAAATTATTCTTTTGGCACAACTCAGACACCTCCATTGATATCCTAGCTTTTTCCCCTTACAAACCAGGCGACTTTTGACAAGGCACCTGATCTCTTATGGAATTACCCGTTTACAAAGTGCAGATTTATGCATGTTAAAGTAGCAGACACCTGCAAAGCACACTGTGAGGGCTAGATGAAAGGTGAGATTGTTGTACCCCATATGCCATATGTCACAGCTTTTGGTTGTTTGCTGTAATTCTGCCTGAACTGCTTTCTGAAAAGATATGATAATATTAATAGTCAGAAGCATCAGTTGCTTTATTTTTTTCTGGGTGAGGCTTTTATGTAATAAGTTGTAGCCATGATTGTTTTTTGTTTTGTAACTGCATAATTATACCCTTATGATCATAACTTGATGATCTTTTTCCTAATTTAGGCCATATGTGAGTTGAGCTTTGAATGATTTGTGTTAGCTGCTGCCCACTGAGTTCTAACCATGCCCTGCTATTTTCACAGGTTGTGGTGGGGAGCTGTCTGGAGCCACAGGCTCCTTCAGCAGCCCTGGCTATCCTGGCAATTATCCAGCCAACAAAGAATGTATCTGGTACCTCTCCACCACCCCTGGGAGCAGCATTCAGCTTACCATCCATGATTTCGATGTGGAATTTCACCCGAGCTGCAACTATGATACCCTGGAGGTAGGCAATGGAATTACTTTTGCCATATTCCAAACCTGGACATAGAACTGGAAGCCATTCTGCCATGATTCCACATTGTTTTCTAAGGCCAGCAATGCTCTGTTATTAGACATCCTGATGATTATCAGTCCTGCATGAATAATGTTGGTAGACATAGAGGATTAATGCCTTTGTTTGAGTTTCCCTGCAAGCAGTACCTAAGGGCTGTGACTACAGGTAGTTTTATTTAGAGGTAATCCCAGGAAGCAGGGAAAGACTGAAAAGACTGGAGGAGCCTCTGCAAATGTGATGCACTGTAGAGCTAGTGGCAGAAGCACCTGGGGTTCAATCCTACTGGGACCCAGTGCGGATCATCTCTCAAAGACAGAGGCTACACTGTTGGAGCCCCTGCTCCAGTCTTTACTAATGAGGACTTTGGGATCTTTAACACTCCACACTTCTAGGAAGTCCCCTTAATAAAGACGTTTGGAGGGCATCAGGTAGCCCTCCCCACAGCAGGCTTTTGTCAAGCTTTAGGTAGTATGAGGAATCTCAAGATGAGAAGCTGTTCAACAATATTGCAAAGATGTGTTGTTTAGAATCTAAGTACAAACATTTCTTAGAATCAACTTTTTAAAAAAGATTTATTTATTTTCGTTACAAGTCAGATGTACAGAGGAGAGACAGAAAGAAAGATCTTCCATCTGATCCCCAGGTGACTGCAACAGCTGGTGCTGCGCTGATCCAAAGCCAGGAACCAGGAACTTCCTCCAGGTCTCCTACGTGGATGCAGGGTCCCAAGGCTTTGGGCTGTCTTTGACTGCTTTCCCAGGGCACAAGCAGGGAGCTGGATGGGAAGTGGAACTGCCGGGATTAGAACCGGCACCCATATGGAATCCCGGGCGTGTTCAAGGCGAGGACTTTAGCCACTAAGCCACCGCACGGGGCCCAGAATTAACTTTTAATGGGAAAAATTAAGCCATTGGGAATTTAATCCTTTATTGTTTCAAATACATGGGAAAAAATACTATCACTTCGGCTAATGGGACTGCTACAGCACATGGTAGCAAGTAGGACTAGCAGGACTTCAGTTCCATAAGGTTAGGTGTTTACATCCTCAGTCTTACTGAGCACTCAGGAAATAGTGCACTCTCAGTGTCTTGTGGAAAGTGTGAATCTAAGAATCCAACTATCTGATAGACAACCATAATAATACACTTTTTTTCGTGGCTCATATAGCAATTTTTACAGCCTTACACTCATTTGAATGTTAAAACACCCCACGAGGTACAAGGAGATTTTTGTCCCCATTTCTTTAAGTTGTCAAGACCAAAGCTCAGAAAAGCAAATGGATTTTTTCTCTCAAGACCACAGGGATGGAAAGCAGAAGAGCTAAGAACTAGACCTGCTTGCTGGACAACACTTCCTGCAAGCCAGCACAAACCTATAGATGTGTGCAGTATGTACGGGGCTGAGATGAGTTATGTGGACTTTATAGGAGACTTTAATACTTAAATAAGAATTCAATTACAGAACTACTTCTCTCTCTGAAGAGAAATGGCATTCTAAAGTCATCCGCTGAGTGAGAGAGTCCCTAGTAATGGTGCTTAGTACCTTTTAGCTCTCCAAAAGAGGCTGCTTCTACAACACTTGATGTTAGCCCAAAGGCTAGAAGCAGTTGGCTGATTCTACAACAAATGAAACCAGAGGCAGAATTGGGGAGTGCGTGGGTCAGCCTGCACCCCAGGTTTCATGGATGGATTGTTACACAGGCATGACCCCGTCTTAGGTGGGGGGGAGGAGGACTATGTTTTTAAGAGGAAAAAGCAAAGTACCTCCTGAAATTTATACTTGCAGTATGAAGCAAGACTGACATTCACATGTGGAATGTTCAAATGGTGTCTCTGGCCAGCAAGGATATTGCTCCGTTGCGTAAAACCCCTTAGCACTTAAAAAGGGCTGGCAGCAAAGCACAGTGTTCCAAACCCTTCATTTTCATATTCCAAAGTACATGTGATCGCTGCCCACTTGGCAAAATGTAAATGGGTTCATTGTGCTTTAGCTTTTGTTCCACCCGTTACGTGAGAAAGTACAGGCAAGGGTTGTTCCCCGCGCTCAGCCTTGGGGCCCAAAGGGCAAAATCAGGGACTCCAGGCCACACAAGCAACATTCAAGGAGGGCCCTTTGCCTGCACAACAGTGTTTGCAAGAAAACTGCAGTCTGCTTGGGTTTAGTTTCATGGGACAGACTGACATCACAGTGGCCCCTCATGTGTCACGAAGAGTAATTGGGTATTTTGAACTCTAAGTACTTTTGAAAGTTTTTGTTTATTTGTTTTGTTGTTTTGTTTTCACTGAAGAGTGAAATGAGCAATCCCCTGTCTTGCTCAAAAACCTTGTTTCACATCTCTGCAGAATTTTATCTCAAGTGGAAAATATCGATTTGGATTAATGATAATAAAGAGAAAGTTTCCACCTCTTATTCTGTAATTCCCTAGTGCTGTTAGCATAATAACAATTAACGGGTTTTACAATGTGATCCCTTTGTGTGATGCAGTCAAAGAGCACTGCTGACCTCCTTGGCCTACACCATCATCTGCACTGTCGGGCAGAGTGTATCCACAGATGTGATTGTCCCTCTGTTTTGGGTTTGAAATTTTATCAGGAGCCATTTTTCCTCTCAAAGCTCAGTGTCCAGAAAGTGGTCAGTGGCACGGAACACAGCCGCTTGGTTACTCATAACCCGGGAATGCTGACTTGATCGTAACAATAAATGGAGTTAACAGAGCAGAAAGAAATGTTCAAAACAGATTAAAACCAAAGGCTTTGAAATGTTCCCCATCCTGAGCATTTGCTAAAAACACATTTTTTAATCACTGATCATCAGACCAATTCCTTTCCCTCCAACATTTAGTCATATGCTGTAGCAGATGAACCACACCCTGAAATTCTTTCCATCTTTTTCCCCTTTTGAATATATGTTAGCCATAGATTTTTATTTGTGGAAGCCAAAAGTGCCAATGTATTATTTTGGTCATGGAAATATTGATTCTGCTTCACTCTGAGAAACCAGTGGACCAGCCTCCTGCAGAAGAGGAAACGTCCTCCCTGGTGCAGTAAACCAGGGCAACGGCTCAGGCTGGGCCATTAGTGCAGTCTGGACTCTGCTGTGGTTGTGAGTGCAGGCCAGTAAGAGGCAAGCAAAGAATGTCCAAAGTGGCAGTTTTTATTCTTCCGGAGGCTCCTGGGCACAGCCAACTCAAACCCATTATGTTTGTGATCTCAAGGGGATGCATGAGCAGGGAAAACAATATTTTGCCGACGTGCAAGTTTTCTTTGTTAAACCTTAACGCGTGTGCTCAATCTTCTCTCCAAATATGTGCTCTTGATTGGGCTGGGCTGATTAGAAGCACATGCTGTGAGTCTGTTGCTCTGGGGACTGCACCCTGGGTGATGGGGGCAGGAGGGAGATCTTGGAAAATTGTAAAGGACACTCTAAACAAGAAGCAGTGTTGTGTTTCCCATTTGCATATGTGTACATGGAGGGGGCCACACAGGGTTCTTCCTGAAATCCTGCTTTTGATGAGATTTACGGGGCAACACAAACATCAGCTTCTCCTAATGAAAATAAGCCTGGAGCAGTTCGCCTGCTTCATTCCTTTGCAATTGCAGTCTTCATACTCAGCCTTCTGGGGAACAGCAGCTTCATTCATTTGGGTATTTCCCGCATGGCTGGGGGAATGAATCAGACAAAGAAGTCATTAAAGATTCAGATCACATCCCTACCCCTCATCCCCCAAGCACACACACAAAAGCAGGCTTCCTGTTCTCACTCTCTCTCCCGGGAATACACTGCAGTGATTTCCCCATCACCCAGCCCATGGGCCTGAGGGTGGGCAGAGGTCAGCAGGCAGATGGCAGAGGTGAGAGATCATCAAGCCTATGCAGGCTCACGTATGCCAGCTTATCTATGACACAGTGGAGGTGGGAACGAGCAGTTGAGAGTTGTCAGATGCACTTTACCTGAATGTTGTCCACAACCGTGGAATTTATTCTGCACACTCAGGCTTGAGAAGATATGAAAGGGAGGGTGGTCAGTATCTTCTGTCAGATTAATATTTTTTAAGATTTTTAAAAATAGATTTTTTAATTTGAATGTCAAAGTTACAGTGAAAGGGGTAAAGACAGAGGATAGAGAAAAAGAAAGATCTTCCATTCACTGGTTCACTTCCCAAAAGTCCTCAACAGCCAGCGGTGAACTGATCCAAAGCCAGGTGGTAGGAACTTCCTTAAAGTTTCCCATGTGAGTGCAAGATCCCAAGGATTTGGGCCAACCTGTGGTGCTTTCCAAAACCAATAGCAGGGAAATGGATTGGAAATGGAATAACTGGGATTCAAACTGAGGCCCATATGGAGTGCTCGCTTTGTGGGAGGAGGGTTAACCTGATATTCCACTGCACCAATCCCAGTATCTTCTGCTTGATTCTTTTTTTTTTTCTTTTTTAAAATTATTATTATTTTATGATACAGTTCCATAAGCCTGGAATTTCCCTTAACCACTTCCTGAGTTTCCTCCCTCTTCACTGAGTTCCCTTACATTATTAGTATAGCATAGTTTTTTGCAAACAGTCACATGTCCATCAATGAGGGCATGGACAATGGCAGAGTCCAGCATCCTATTGTCAAGATATAGTAAATAGTATCACTGGGAGTTCATCTTTAGTATGGCAGTAGAGATGCATACTGCATTGTATCCTCACATCTGAATGTGATAGTCTCCATTATACAGTTACTATACATCCCCTTAAGTGAAAAACCACAAAACAAAATAAACAACAGGAAAAAAAAAAGAAATTAACAACACCATGAAGTTGAATAACATGCTACTGAATGACTAATGTGTTGCTGAAGAAATGAAAAAGAAAATCAAGAACCTTCTTGAAGAAAATGATGCTACTGTATGATCTATGAGTCATTGAAGAATTTGATGAGGAAGAAAGTGTTTTAAAGAGATGAAACTACGTAAAAATAAAAATCTATGAGATATAGTTTCCCCTGATCTTTGTTGGTGAGATGTATCTCCTGTAGGCAACAAATAGATGGGTTTTGTTTTTTTAATCCAGACTACTAATCTATGATATTTGATTGATGAGTTTAAGCTGTTTACATTCATGGGTTGTTCATTCGTTTAGTCTTCTGTTATTTTACTGGGATGTTCTTCACGGTTGCCTTTGGTTTTGGTGGGTACTATTCCTCTTCTCTGTCAAGAGAACATTTTTAAGTATCATTTGTAGGGCAGGTTTGAAAGAGGCATATTCTTTTAACTTTTCTTTCTTGTGAAAGAATTTTATTTCATTTTCAAAGACAAAGAAAAGCTTTGCTGGATACATTATCTTGGGCTGACAATTTTTTTTTTTGCTTTAGGAATCTAGACTATGTTGCTCCATTCTCTTCTTGCCTATAAAGTTTCCTATGAGAGGTTTCCTGTGAGTTTAATTGGCATTCCTTTATATGTCAATTGATTTTTTTCACGTGCACATTTAACGATCTTTTCCTTATGTTCAATTGAAAAGAGGTTAAGTATCATGTGCTATGGTGAAGGTCTCTTTTGGTCAACTCTGTTGAGAGTTCTGTGCCCCTCTGGATGTTGTTTCCCAATTCTCTCTCCAGATTAGAGAAAATTTCCCTTATTATTTCATTGAATACACCTTTAATCCCAGTTTCTCTTTCTGTACCTTCTGGGACTCCCATATCTTTGGCCTCTTAATAGTGTCTTTCAATTCTTGAATACTTTTTATAGCTTGACGCAGCTCTGCTTCCAGCCTTTCATTTGTGCCCCCTTGGTGACAGGAAATATCTTCTAATTCTGAGATTCTTTCTTTCACCTCCTTTATTCTATTTTGGAGACGCTCCACTGTACTTTTAGTTTGCTCCACTGTATTCTTCATTTCTGATATATCACCTTTCATTTGATTCATTTCCTGTGTGACATATTCCTTAAATTCTTTGAACATCTGCTTTACGTGCTTCTCATTGTTGATTAGATGCTTTATAACAAGTGTTTTGAATTTTATATACCCCATATTCTTGATGTCTTCCTCAGTTAACTCTAAGGTTGGCAAAGGCTTTTGCTCCTTTACAGGGGATTCTACAGTAGTATTCATTGTGCCTTTGACTCTTCTTTTGCTTTTGGTCATTGTACTTCTGGTTATCATATTCTTCTTCTTGGGGCAGGTTTCTAAGCTGTGTCACCCACAGATCTACAGTTCAATATTACTTATTGCAGTTAGTACATGTCTCTTTGTTTGCAGTCACTTGTGCCACTCTCTCCAGCGAGTTCCAGGTCTGGGTTCTAATATAGGCTTCCACTATGGTCTCTGTCGCCCCAGCTCCTGGCTTACCAGTCTCCACCTCCTGTGATACTGTAATGAGGCTGCACCATTGTCTGCACAACCTTTCTCACACTTCCAATTGGAGCAGATCCCAGGATTAGGGAGACATCAGGTGTCCTATATAGCTAGGTGGTTGGTAGTATTCTTGCAGGAACCTGTTGGACATTAGGTCTGAGGGCCACACAGACCTATTTTGACCTGTATGATGCTATAGTCAGTATTATTTTCCTGTGGGTCCAGTGCAGTGCACTGAGCTCAGTGCATTCTCTCCAAGCTCATTGCATGTACAGCTCACTGTTGTCCCTGCAGTCTTAAATCCTTTGCCACACTGTACAGAATGGTGCCTGCTGTGCCACTGCTAGAGTTCTTGGTCTACTGGCCATCAGGTCTGAGGGCTACCGGGACCTATCTTGGGTGGAACCTGTAGGATACCACATTGTTGCAGTTCACTGAGCCAGAAATGAATTCTCTCCTAGCTCAGTGTATGCTCAGTCCCTTCTCTTAGCCTTTGCCTCCTTAAACAAAATGGCACGCGATTCGGCTCTAGGGGGTAAACTGGGCTATGAAAGTCATCCTGTTCCCACACTGCCCATCTGAGACCTGCTACTCTGTCTCTGCTCCTGGTCAAATCAAACAGACCAACAGGATGAGCAGTTCTTTGTCTGGGTTCACCCCCTGAGCTCCCAGTGAACACCCCTTCCCACTTTGTTGTTGGTGGAGTTCCAGCTACTGATGCAGTTCATATCGCTGCTCGTTGAATGCCACTGGGGTGTCAGTCACTGTAATACCACACTGTTGTGTTCGATTCTCCCTGATTCTTATCATCCCCTCAACATTCCTGCTTACCCCAACACACAGGTAAATACACACACGTACATACACGTGCACACACACACACACACACACACACACACACACACACACACACACACACATTGGATAGTATGGCCTGGAGGAGATTTAGAAGCCCATCTGTGAGGTGCCCTGGATGTGACATCAAGGGAACCCTTCTCCTGGGAAGGTGTCAATAGGTGTTAGGTACCACTCAGTCAGGTAGTTGGATAATTTTGAGCTTAACCCATAGATTTGAAGCTGGTGTGATGGATCTAGAAGCAGTATGGGTCAAATTCTAAGGTTCATCTGCAGCAGAACATGGCAGCCCTTGGTCAGATTCCTGGGAGCAGGTATGCTGGCTAGAGGCATAAGGAGACCCTATAGATTTACCTTCTTGAACTTACCCCAAATCATATTTATCAGGCTTTCATTTCTCCCTGTGAAGAAACAAAGACGTTATATTAAATGACTAATCTCATAAAATATTCAGTTTGGAAGTTGGCTAAAAATTAATTAAAAAAATAATGTAACTGGGAAATCAAGAGCCTTCTGTGAACCCAACCTTTTTAGTCAAAATCATTTTATGCTGAGACTATTCATATGGGTGCATAAGAATTAGAAAATCAGACATAATACTGTTTTTTGCTGCAATGCCTCTGCCAGAGAAAGCTGTAAATTCCCTGAAGCCATGAAAAAGATGAAGCTGAGAGCTATGGAAGATTCTGGAACAACCTACTGAATCCACTCCCACATTTCTGAACTGATGAAATAAACAGGAATTTATGGGTGATTCAACTGTTGTATTCCTAAGGCACAGGGAGTGCCTTTGAAAATTCAGTTCATGTTTATGGTTCATCTCCACCCAGAGAGGCTGAGATTTCAATCTGTAATCATAATATAATCCAGGAGCTGTTGATGAAAAGAAATGAGGGGCAGGCTATAATGATTTAAATATGTGTTTTAAGTCTTTTTTTTAACACCCTGTTTTAGATATATGGAGGCCCTGATTTCTACGCTCCCAGAATAACACAGTTGTGTGTCCAGAGATCTTCTGTGATCCCCATGCATGTGTCCAGCACAGGAAATGAATTAGCAATACGATTTAGGACGGACAGCTCCATAAATGGAAGAGGCTTCAATGTCTCCTGGCAAGAAATTCCTGGAGGTGAGTGAAAAAAGCAGGTATCTTAAAGTGTTTCACCTGCACAAGTGGTAAATTTCCTATAATGATTGCAGAATGATGTGTAAGCCCCATCCTGATAACTTCCTTACTTTCCAGATGACTCATGCTGCTTTGGGATATTTTCTTTCCTAAAAAATGTGGTAAGAGTTTAACTTCATCAGTGTCACCACATTTGTTGAAATAAGGATACAACTATACAGGTCCCTGGTGAGATCAGATTTAGGATGATTGACCAGGCATACTGATTTTGCAAAGGAACAGAACCAATCACCTGCCACAGTTAGGCATCAATGAGTAGCAGATTATCTCATGTCATAGAATAGATCTTTGGGTTTATGACAAATGACAAAATTGTTCATGCTAAATTTTTGAATTCCAGGGAATTACTGTACATTGAATGGTGGCTTACTGCCAAAGAGCTTAGCAAAAAGCTTAGATACTATAAAGTACCTGTTTCAGATTTTAAAAGTGATAAGCTGTGGCACAAAGTATATTCACATGTATTGTAAAACTATTCACAATGGCTGCATTACAGAATGCTTAGTATATGTGTCTGGCACTTTCCTAACTGTTTTACAAGGGTTATCTCATTTAATACTGCCAACCAACCCCTGAGGGAAGTGTATTTAAACAAACTTTAATAATTTTAATAAGGAATTAAAATTTAGACAAGTTAGTAACTCACCTAAAATCCTAGAGCTAGAAAACACCAAAACACGAATATACCTTTACAGTGCCCATGTATGTAATTGTAGGGTAATAGAGTAATGATATATAATCTCTCATAAAGGTAATTATCTTTAAACACACACAAAAATACATAAACCACAGTGCTTAGGGTACCTCGAAATAATTCTCAGTCATTATAAAACAGAGCTGATTTCTGAATTATTGGCTTTTATCACCATAACTATAACCATAACTATAAGAAATGATGAGCCACAAAGGCAGAAGATGACACTTGATATCATTGTAGGAATTTAAAAGTAACTGTATAATAACTGTGATCTCTAGAATATTAAATATTTAAATCAGATAATGTATTTTTATAGAAACATACACTACGGGATTATCAAATATTTGGCAGGAGATAAATCATTCTTACAGTATGCTGTAATTTTAGAGGACATGGAGCAGGCATAATAAATCTCTGTGAAAACATGATTTGATTTTTTTTTAGAGGACATGGAGCAGGCATAATAAATCTCTGTGAAAACATGATTTGATTTTTTTTTCATTGTTATTTTTAAAATTTTTATTTACTTTGAAAGGCAGAGAGATGAGATAGACAGAGATTTCCCATCTACTGGTCTACTCCCCAGATGTTTGCAATGAGTGGAGCTGGCCATAGCCAGGAGCCAGGAACTCAATCCTGCCTTCCACGTGAGGCACTGATTCACTGGATTCAGTGTCTGCTATCTCCCAGTGTGCCCAATAGCAGAACTGTGGAATCAGTCATGGAGCCAATGTTGGAATCTAGGCACTTGGAAATGGGATGTAGGTATCCCAAGAAGCATCTTAACTTTGACGTCAAATGCCTACCCTTCATTATTAGTTTAAGCAACTTTTGGCATCAATATTTTAAATATTTGAAGCATTTTTAATATCCTCTGTGTCTTCTTATTTTTGCTGTGATAAATGAATTAGCATGAACATTCAGCTCGTCAGAGTTAACACAAACTAAAGCTCCGAGTCAAGCAAGGTATCGTATTGATCTATACTATCAGATAAGGATATAGTTTGTGCATTAATGATTTCTCTCATTGTTGAATTGGATTTTCCACTTACAGGTTGTGGAGGAACTTTCCATGCTCCAAATGGGGAGATTCATTCTCCAAATTACCCCAGTCCTTATATGAACAACACTGCCTGTCTTTGGACCATCCAAGTTGAAAAAAATCACCGTGTTCTCTTGAACTTCACTGACTTCGACCTTGAAACTCAAGACTCTTGTGTTATGGTGAGTGACATAAATTTCTTCTTTTTTATTTTTAGAGATTTATTTACTTTCATTACATATATATATATATATATATATAGAAAGGAGGAGAGACAAAGAGAAATATCTTCTGTCTGATGATTCACTTCCCAAGTGACTGCAATGGCCGGTGCTGTGCTGATCCCAAGCCAGCAGCCAGATCTTATGGGTCTCCCACGTGGGTGCAGGGTCCCAAGGCTTCGCGCCATCTTTCACTGCTTTCCCAGGCCACAAGCAGGGAGCTGAATGGGAAGCAGAGTTGCTGTAATTAGAACTGGCACCCATATGGCATCCCAGTGCTTTCAAGGTGAGGACTTTAACTGCTAGGTCACAGAGACAGGCCAAATTTCAGAAATTGTCTCTAGTCAAAACTGGGTGAAAACCTGACAAATGAAAACATTCAATGAATGTATTAACTGTCAGTGTGTTCAACGTGAAATAATAGGGAATCTAACTGTTAGCAACTTAAATTATAAAGATTTTTTTTAATATACAAACAAATCAGGACTAGCTATTTTTGTTTTTCTGTGCATTTTTTAATCAGAAAAGCATAATTTCCACACAGGCTAACAACTATGATTGGATCAAGAAACTAACCTGGAGTAGATTTTATCCTGCTAGTTTAAATCATGCAACCTCTAGGTTAAAATGCATGGTTCTGTTCGTCTTGGTTTTAGTGTATCTCAGTTTGCTACTTAAATTAGTGTTACAAAAGAATATACTAGTTGGGACATAAGTCTGAAGGGAAAGGAAGATGATTACCAGGTAGATGAAAGAAAAGTTTCAAGTAAGGCATTCTTACTTGGGAATGCCTTGGATTTCTTGTACGAGTAAGGAGTTTTTGTTGTTGTTGTTTTAAATCTAAGTGTAGTGGTTAACTAATATTTTAACAAGTTTTTTTTTCTGTTTGTACATAGAACATTTCATTAAAATATAAACTGCTTCTCTTGGTTAATGGATTTTTTATTTTTATTTCCTGATGTTTTCAATAAAGTCTAACTGGCTAGCTTCTTTCAAATTTAACTCAAGAAAACCCAAAAGCTGTTTCACATTTTCAAAGTGTTGCAATCTAATGGTGTTGGAAGCACAGTTAATTTATGCCTATGAATTAATCTCACCAAAGAGTCTTTGGAATGTCAGTTGGCAGAGCACCATACAAATTTAAGGTGGAGGACATTCACTTTGAATGTGATAACTCAGGTCAAATCTTTTGACCAAAACAATTTAAATCTTCGGTGACATTTTAAAACATATTCCTCAGTGCAGCCAAGAAGTTACCAGCTGATGTGCAGTTTATGAATTAGTATCTGAAGGTGTGAGCCCAGTGTTGGGAATTGTTCTTGCTGCCCTCCTAAGGCATTTGTAGATCCAGACGGGATTTAGCAGCATCTCTGAGATCCTCTGTGGGCAAAGAGAACTAAAGTTTAAATTCAGGATTTTTTTTTAGAGTGAAGGTCTTGATCATTTATATCCTAAGCAAATGAAAGTTAAAAAGCCTTCACTTACAGATTTAAGTCATGTAAGCAGACCGCAGAAATCTCAGCGATAAGGGAGCCTGTATTGTCCATGTAATTTGATATCAAGAACCTGGAAAATGCAGTTTAAAATCATTGATGGAGAAATAGACCTCATCTCTACCAAATAGTTTTTCATACGCCATAGCCAACAGACTAGCAAAGATAATTATAAGAGGAGATAATATAACATAAATAAGGTACAGCATGAATAACACCCAATGGAAGCACTATTATGTTAGCCTAGTGATCAAGTACAGGTTGCTGAACAATCATAATTCCTAATCTTATAGTAAACTCAAACTAAAAACTTACAGTGGGGCTGGCACAATGGCTCAACTAGCTAGATCTCTGCATACAGGCACCAGCATCCCATATGGATACTGGTTCGTGTACAGCTGTCGCATTTCCCATCCATTTACCTGGGCTGAGAAGGTAGTGGAGGATGGCTCAAAGTCTTGGGAATCTGCACCTATGTGGGAGACCCAGAAGAGGTTCCTGGATTCTGGCTTTGGATCAGCTCAGCTCTGGCTATTGGGGAGTGAGCCAGTGGATGGGAGATCTGCCGACCTGTCTACTCTCTAAAATCTGCCTTTCCAATACAAATAAATAAATCTTAAAAAATGTATCTTTTAACAAGGAATTGCAAACTACATAAAGTGCATTGAAATGTGAAAAAGAACCATCTAAATATTACAGAACTGTTAAATGTGATAGCCATAAGACTCCAGTCAAAAGATTGTTTGGGAAATTAGACTCAGACAAACAAATAAAGAGAATCTATTCAGAAGGAAAATTATAGATAAGCAAAATGATAAAAAAAATACAGAAATAAAGATACACAGAGGACCCAAAGATTTAAAAAAAAAACATTTAATTAGAATCCCAAAGAAAATGAAAGCAGGTAGAGTATTTAAGGCATTAATGAATAAGACTTTGCCAAAACTGAGTATAAAGATTAGGTATCTCAGGAAGCCACAATGGTCAAGCATGATAAATAGAAAGACATACATATTGAATTTTTTAAAAAGAAAGATAAAATAAAATGCTAAAATCATCCATGGGAGAGGGTGAGTGGGAAAAGCTTACCCTTCGAGAGTGGCTAACAAATCGCTGAGTTTCACCTGTCATAACTGAAAGCAAAAGACAACAATGCAATAGTGTGTTAAGTTTCCAGAAAAGAAGTAACATTCGACCAGAAAATAATTTTTTTTTCCAGGAAAAAACTCACTCTATTCTTTCCTAAAATCGCCTATAATAAAAGTGAATTAAACACTAAAGCACAAGAAGGATTTTCAAGGGAAGTTTAAAATAGCTGGGGACAAACTGTCTATTTATATTTTTACATGCAACGGGCATTTCTCCACATCTTTTTTCCCAGTCTGAATGATGCTGGACACAGCTTCTTTTTTTCACTAAAATTCATACTCCACAGATTCAACATGCAAAATATGTGACTAGTCTTTAACTTAGTCAAATGGATGTCCTGTATAACTGATTTTTCTTCTCTCCTATGATCAAGAAGACATTTTCACTCTTGTAAGTACACAGGATTCTTACACCCCAGCATGCAGCTGGGCTTGGTTTGGCTTAACTGTAGTTGGAGAAAAAATACAATTAGAAGTAAAATCCCAATTGTGGTCTATTCATAGGCATGGAAATGGACTAAAATAAGGAAAACGCAAAAAACAAGTTGTCAGAATCAGGGAATCCCGTGTGAAGTGGTTAGAACATCCCTGTCAGCAGAAAAAAAGTGGACATGGAAGAGTAAACACCTCTAAGCCCTTGGGAAGGCCACTGATTTAACGAGTTAGCTACACCAGCAGCCTGAGTCTATCTGTTGGTGTGGCTAAGACATCTAACTGCTGTGGGTTGGACCTTGAACTCCTTCTGGACTCTGCTGTTTTCAACAGGAAGTTCCATCTTTCCACTTCAGTTTGCTTAAGTAAAGTGAGGATAATGAGAGAAATTGTGTCAGATTTGTTGTTGTTGCTCTTGTTAGGGTGTTCCAAACAATGTAGGTGATATAATCATACAGAAATTTCACTATTGCTACTAATTATAATCAGGTTGCTGTTACTGAGAGCTTTCAGAGGTAGTTTCAATGAGCACTGGAAGGAGACAGTTTGGAATTCTAGGAGAGGGAATGGGTTTGGAAGTTAGGGTTACAATTTCCCATCTTTAATTAGAGAACTGGAACTTGATTCACTGTTATTAATGATGAGAAAACAGAAAGAGTGGTTTATTCAGGTTTGGAAGCCAGGGAAGCTTTTGCACTAGAGGTGACATTTAAATGGCAGTGTCTTACTAGTGGAAATGTGGCAGAGAGGCTGGGGAAAGCAATGCAGAAAGATGGGATAAAGGGTGTACAGATATTTTGTAATAGTGAGAGAGAAGAAAAGAGACTGCTGTGTCCAGTTCCAGGGCTGCATAAGACATTTAAGTTCAGCTCATGTGCCCTGGTGAAGAATTTGAAATTGTCCTATAGGTTGTGGTAGTAACAGTCTGTAAAACAGAGGTATCACTTTCTCAGAACTGTATTTGATAAAGACAAGAAGCATCAGTGTAAGGAATGGGTTGACAGAGAAAGAGCATATAAAAATTGGCTGGGAAGCTGTGGAAAAAGCTTGGATCAGAGTGGGTTTTTTCCCACTCTGGGCACGGGCTTTGGTAGTGGAGAGAATACCACATAGGAAGACTATTATAGTTGTTTAGTCCCCATTCCTTAAAGAATGACTGTACAGTGGAGAGTGGAATAGGTCATAGAGATAGGGTCATTTCGACTGTTTTACTTGAGGGAGGAGGTAAATGATGATGCCAATATCTGAGTAAAGGAACTGATTTGGAAAATAAGTCTAAAGTTTAGAGTATGTTCCCTATGGAATGTGACATGAATTCTGTTTATAGGATGGGGTGCTATAGTTTTATGCATTGAACTGGTAGTCAAAGCCATGAGAATTGATGCAGTCATTTGTAGAAGTTGTGCTATAGAAAAAAAGGCCAAGTAAACTCCTTGGACCTTATTTAAGGAACAGCTCAGAAGAAAAGGAAATAGAGTACTCCAGAACAAGTAGGTAGAGAACCAAAGCATAATGGCAAAGCAAGTAAGAGTGGAGCAACACTGTAGTAGTGATTACTCAAAGACAGCAAATCTGGCAGATCTCTGCTAGGATGAGGTTGGTGGTGGTGCTAGTGGGCTTGGCCTACAATAAGCTTGTAAGGTGAAAGTATTGGTGTGGGTCATGGTGGGAAAACTTGATCACAGTGGGGTTGGAGGAACCAGAGCTTCTTCAGAGTTATAGGATGGATATGTAAGGGATAACAGGCAACCTGTAGGCAAGGAAAATCAATGGAAAGGTTTCTCGTTTGTTTATTTGCTTTTAACAATGGGGAAATGTCAGTTATGTTAAGAAGGCAAGCTGCTGTTGGAGAAACAAGCTGAATGTAAAAGATAGATGAAATAATTGA